TCCAGCTCGTATGATCGCATGTCTCGTCATGATACCCTGAGTCAATTACTGTTTGACTTTCTGTCTCTCCCCCTCCCACAGGTAGTGAGTGTGATGAGGAGGAGGTAGACTTTGAGGAGTCTGATAGTGACGAATCGTGGACCACGGAGAGCGCCATCAGCTCCGAGTCCATCCTCAGTTCTATGTGCATGAATGGAGCAGATGAGAAGCCTTTTGCCTGCCCTGTGCCAGGCTGTAAAAAGAGATACAAGGTAGGTTTCACTCAGCATCTCCTCTTAGAATACACACTTTAAATAAAACATAAAGCAATGGTGCAAATTATTTTACCATGCCCAGGGAGAAACCAAATAAAAATCTGAGATATTTGTGTTGTGAGATTTGTGATTTTATTTGCTCATGTAAAATTAAAAGTGACTCCCCACTGTTGACAATGGAAAATCAGTTCTTAGCTGGGCATTACAGCTTGTCAACATAGATGCATACATCTAGTCCACTTCAGTGATGTGGAGTTTTACAGGATTTTCCGTTCACATCTGGCGTGTGTGGTTTTGATAAATTATGTGCAGCTTGAGAAAATTGCATTGCTGACGTGAATGACAGGGTTATGGGCGATGACTTAGTCTGAGGCAGCAGGCACCATTAGGCATCTGTTTAGGGGCAGAACAAGATTGAAGAACGCATTTTATTTCCCCTCTCTATAGCCTACTGTCAGCATGCATCCTCCTTTTTATATATATATGTGAATCAGAATCAGAATCTGGTTTACTGCCAAGTAGGTTTTCACACACACACACACACACACACACACACACACACACACACACAAAATCTTTGGTGTTTTGATGCATTGACAAGAAACAAATATAGAATAGACAATACATTACAATAAAACATTAAGAAATACTATTTAAAAATTTCTACAATGTTATTGTGTTAAACAAATGAGCTAGGAGGGAATGAGCAAACATATTTTCTAGGGCAGTGGTTCTCAAATGGTGTGCCGTGCTGCTAATCCAGGTGTGTCATGGGAGTTTGTGACAACCACACATTATTATTGCAATATTCAAATTGGCTTGCACAAAGAGTTATGAATTAATTTTTAATTGACTGTATCAGCATGTTGTGCACACTCAGTTCCTAATAAAGAGGCAAACTCTAGCTAAAAATGTAATTTAATTTGATTTGATTGACAAACCGTCATGGGGAACCAATTTGTCCCATTTGAGCATGAGAATTATAAGCGTGTGACACATCAAACACCCTGATTGGCAGCCAGTGTACAGGATGATGACAAAAGGAGAAAGCTGTGAGTGGGACAATGGATCGCCTTATTGTACGAAGCAAATTACAACAAAGCACCAGCGAAGACGACCTATGACCGAAAGAAAAGAGAAAAAGTAATTGACAGTATCAGTAAGCTACCTGTCTTATTTTTGCTTGTTTCATTGTCTTACATCGTGGTAAGAGTGATAACACGTTAAGAAGCTATTTTGTGCAGGTATAAATAAAGGTGTGCCTTGAGATTTTGACTTGCCCCACACTGTTCTAGGTGATGTGCAAAGGTTCACAGTATTAGGCATAAAAGAAAATGCAATGTATATTGATATAGATCCAGAGATATGCCTTAAAAATAATACTTTACCTTCAAAATGGCTATTTGTATGTCAGTTACTCACTGTGTCTTATGTAGAAATCATGAAGAAAACTTTGCATGCCTCCAGAGTAAACGAAGAATCCAAAAAGGCAAACATTCTTTATGAATTAAAGTCATTGGGGACCACATTTAATGACAGCAAAGCTATATCAAAACACAAATCCTCACACAACTCGTGCAGTATAATTATAGACCGTATAACATAATAAATGTAGCTACCATGACGTCCCCCATTGGTTTGTGGACAACTGTTTTGAAGCCTCAAGGTTAGCATTTTGGCCGTTACATCTTGTTTTTTTGCAGCCAGAAGTGACCCTGTTTGAATGAGATGGTGGAGCTGTGACTCATAGACTGTAGTGAAGCCTTGCAGACTACCTTTCACTCGATCAGCCCTTAAATATGCGTAACTTTAAGCCAGAATAAAATGCAAACAGATGAGATATATAAAAATTCACCTTCTGTACAACTGTCATGAAAATTAGCTATCAAGACCAAAACTGTTTGTTTTTTTTGTACTGGGCTTTAAACATGTTTATTTCTGCTGTAAAGTTGGGCATTTTAATAAGGGGGTCTATGAGGATCTGGAGCCAGCCTTAAGTGGTCATTCATGAAACTGCTTTGGCTTTATTTTTCAGCCTGAGGTTGCTGCTTGAGTTTAACCCAAGTCTCATTCATCCAGTCATATGCTCACTACTTCCCAAACACGTGCTGCCATGAGAGGCGTGCCCTCCATGAGACTGTAACCTTTGTGTTTTCGCAACAATGCATGTGTTTGGGAAGTACTGAGCACGCAACTGGAGTGGGCGTCCCGGGCCTTGCTGATGATGTATGTACATGGTTGTGGAAGCACAGTTGTACATGTTAACTTATAAGCGTAATTCCATGTTAAGTGATGGTTGAGTGTCATATTTTTTGCATCATCATTGCAGAATGTGAACGGGATCAAGTATCACGCCAAGAACGGCCACCGAACCCAGATAAGGGTGCGCAAGCCCTTCAAGTGCCGGTGTGGGAAGAGCTACAAAACGTCTCAGGGTCTCCGCCACCATACCATCAACTTCCACCCACCCATCTCTACTGACATCATCCGTAAGATGCAGCAGTAGAGACCGAGTGAGTGACCAGCACTCTCCCTCAGGCCACTTCCCAACCATCTGAACACCACCATCACCAGCAGAGGCTGTTTCTCATTCCACCATTTTCAACCCCGCCCCCTCCCCCTTCTCTTCTCTCTCTTACCCCACTTTGCTATGACACTATTTTTGATTGCATGGTATAAATGTGTTATTATTCATCCTTAACTTTTATTATGAATGTTGAATCTTTATGTAGTTCACAGTTTTGTATTTTTGCACAATTAAGCTATCATTTATCTATCTGACTATTTTGTTTCGACATATGGTGCTCGTTGATGATGAGGGCTCGCTGGAGACTGGAGAATGGCCGCACCAAGTCACGAGTAGCCTTGCATGTACAGTAAGGTATCCTGCTTTAAAGGCAGTGTGAAGTCATAGGAGACTGGGGAAAGATTTGTATTTTTTTTTTTTTTCAGGAAAGTAGGATCCATTACTTTGCATATGTTGCATTTGAACCTAAAATGCAACAGAGGCAAATGCAATCAATCAGAATGCGTGTGGTATGACATTCTCTATCAGACTTAATGTTAATAATCAGTTGTTTGACTCAGTTACTTTTCCTTTCATATCACAAGTATTCCAAACCTTTTTTCATCTGTTTTACTGCAAACACTTGTGTGTGAGCACCAAAGGATGATCTCAGGTGACGTTTGCAAGCATTTCAGCACCACAATCCTGCCCAAGCGTTCAGATAGTATTTAATGCTGTTCAGTGGGATCATGGGAACTCAGTGTGTCATAGCTGCCTAACGTTCCCGGTCACTTTCCTGACAACATAAGCAGTTTTTCCTTGCTGTTTTTACAGCGAGGAATCAAAGCACTTTTTGTAACAAGTTGCCAACAAATTAGCATTTTCTTTGCCAATATCTCGTTTCTGGTCTATGTACAGTAGCAGCCAAAAACGAGGTGAAAAGGCCTTCAGAGCAGAAGTTTGCAAGTTCTACTTTGCTCCAAGGGATGATGTATACCAAACCTCCAGTGTTTCCAGTATTGTGAGATTTCTGTATGTACAGTAGTTGCCTTGAATTGTAAACCATTCCAATCAGTACAGATCTTTGTATGGCTTTATTTTGACAGTTCAGACAAAATCAGCTGAATGCAGACATTACACAGGCAGCTTGGCCCGGACTGTCTGCTGTTCACCGATTCCCCGCTCTTATGAAACCATGTGATTGTGTTTGTCATGGATAGAGAAAAGCTGGGGCAGATGTTAGCCATGTATTTAGCACATTTATGTTGGGCTGTGAGGTTAACACATGCGGCTCCTACTTTGTGCCATAAAAATATGTCTGTTGAAGGCATATACCATCAAATCCATGAAATAACTGAAGAGGAACACCATCTAAATTAAGAACTGCAATAAGTTACTTCCATGGCATAGGAAAGTCCGATCAGTGTTTGTGAACATGAGCTACTCTCCCTCAAAACCAGACATCAGAGAAGTAAGTCTCAAACTTGTGATGTCGTCAGGTATAAAGTCTGGAGCTGTTCCACAGACAATGAATGGGAGACTGATTTTGTGGACCTGCAGAATGTTTGGGGGTTTTTTTTATAGCCAAATGAGCTTTATTCTGTTGTAATGTCCTCAGTTCTGAAACAGACAATGGACCCATATACTCAGTGCATTCCCCATTCATCTCAAACATCTGTGCCAATTCATTGTCTATGGAGCAGCTCCAGACTTTACACCCTATGACATTGCAAATTTGACTTTTAGTGCTTTGGATTTGGGAGAGTTGTTCATGTTTACTTATATTTCTTGACAGTCTTAGATCATAGGAATGACATGCATGACTTTTGAAAATGGGCATAGTTCCCCTTTATAGGCCACAAGATTGGGGATTTAAAAACTTTGAGCCATTATAAGTAACATCTTCACTGCATGGATGTTAGCATTGAGGAACTACGGTCCAATTGAGAATTGTGACAGTATTGTACTGCCAGTATGGAGGGAAGTCTTTGATATAGTGTATAGTGAATGTATTATTGTGTTAAGTGCATTAAATTATATTTTCATATGTTTCTGGATTTTAAAAAACCAATAGTATGAAGTGTATGAAAAGGCAACACCAGAGGTTGTTTGGAGAAACTAATGGTGATGTACTGTATTTCTTCAAAAAGCTGCTTCATGTAAACTTTTGTTACATTTAGAATAAAAATTCCTCTGACGTGTGCCTCGACTCCTGTGTTATTGACTGCACATGGACACGATTCAGATTCAAACAGACTTTATTAGTTCGTATTAGTTACATGAAACTCACTTAATAAATGAAACATTTCTATGACTGAAATAACTTATTACTGTAAAAGAGAAGAACAAAGGAAGGAAATTAACATAAGCTCAGCATGCACTGATAAGCTGATGATATGACGGTTCTTAAGGAGTCTGACACAAAAACCCAATTAAATATTTGAAATCAAAACAAAGGAAACCTAACATAAAACAAATCTATATCATACACAAAGTATCAAGGCTTTCACGATATCATTGGCTTTAATTATTCTAAAATAGATGATCTGATGATATACTGTATTATCATGTCTTAATGTTATCACTGAAGAGTTCTCCCTGACTGCATATAGTGCACCAAGGCTGCTTTCTATAAAGAATGAGCAAATGACTTGTACAGTGATGTTTAAGGGGGGAACCATTTGGTTGGATGTTTTAAATGTAAGTTTGGTAAACACTTATCTCTTTCCCTGATTCGTTACATCCTGTAGTCTGACAGATCTGTGTGAGCCAAGTCAATTTGAAGTTGGTATATATATGTACAACAGTCTTATCCCCCTAAGTCATTCTTAAAATCCAAATGAAGGGAAATCTTTCACCTATAAAAAAAAGGTTGATTCAGTAGCCCTGCCATATACACTGAATTAGAATGTCATTTCAAAATGTCACATCACTTCAAAGTGTTTCTCTACGTTGAAGTAACAAAGCGAAAGTCGGTATAGTCCTAAAGAGTGGATCTTCACACCATTACATGCAGAAAAGAGTGCAGAGTGATTTATTTCAGTGGCGACAGGAAGTAGGCAGACCGGATGTGCTGATTTTCTTTTTCTCTAGTCGAAGTTGAGTGGGTGGCCGTCAAAGTGAGTGAGCACGTGATTCTCAAACACCTTCTGGTCGCAGTCCAGCGGGAACTGCTCGCTGCACATGGGGCAGATTTTCCAGTGGCTCTCCACGTGCTCCTCAAACTTGCTCTGGTCATAGTTGGGTGGGAAGATGACCTCACACAGTGGACATCTCTTCATGTCCATGCTGCGCACGGGGAGAGGACAGAAGAAGAAAAAGGCAGGGAGAGAAAGCTCACGTTTATGAGCAGTGCAGTGATGATGTGGGCAAACCAGAAGCACGGGCTAATAAAGAGCATCTGTCTGATGCGACGTGGGTGGCCTGCTGCTTGACTAATACCAACAAAAGGGGGGCTGTGCAGCAGAACAAACACTTTACACATGTTACAATGCACAGGTTTAGAAAATGTAGGGTGCAGCAAACTTGGATGGCATTTATGGGTGTTTGAGCATCTGAGGGTGTGTTACCTGGGATCAAAGCAGAAGGCGGTTTGTCCATCATTCACAAATGGGCTGTGAGTTTCAGTTGCTGCGGGCTGTTCGTTGGTATTACCCTGAAACAGAAAGTTTATGATTTGTGAACATTTGTGAATATCTAAAGCTGGGGAGGATTTCTTTTATGGCATCACTGGGCAAAAATTGGACAATAACCATTCAGCATATAGTAATTCAAGTGGCCTGAGAGAAAACTAGACCTCTGCACCTCCTCTTGGCTCTGTTTTTAAGGGTGCATTCACACCAGGATAGTCCGGGGGACTTGGTTCAATTGGGCGGGGAATGCCAAAAAATTTCATACTTTCATTTGGTTCGGTTCGCTTTCACACTGTACTTTTTAAAGCGGCGGTATTGCCCGAAATGACCACTGACAAGGAAGAAAAAAAGCACGAAGAAGAAGAAAATCCACCTCATCGATTGGCCAGGACCGGAAACGGAAATCCATCTCCTTCAGCCGGCTTCGTCACCACAAAGACACCAAACACCAAAATGCACTGCACTGCACTCTACGTCACTTCCTCTCTTTGGTTCGCATTTCCCACTGTAAGCAAACCGCACCAGGGTTCAGTTGCAAGTGAACCGAGACCCCAGTTTTCAAGCGGACCAGGGTTCACTCGTTTGGTCCGCACCAGAGTTCGAATGAGCGTTCACACCACTCCAAATGAACCGAACTATCTGTGGAAGCGGACCAGGGTTCATTTAAAGTGGACTAAAAAGCGCCAGTGTGAATGCGTCCTAAGATTTAGAAAATCTAGCCTGTGACAGAACCTTCCTATTGTCTATTTTACAAATGCAGATGCATGTACACGTCCCTTCAGATGGTGAAAACCTGATTTAATGGCAGAGAATCCCACAGTAAAAGCTACTATTCCAGCATTGGCAAAAACTGGCTACACTGCAAAGCAACCACAAAACAAAGGAAGACTGACGTATCAAAAAGAGAGTCGAAAAGAATGTCTGACAATAAACAAAACAAAAATTAGTCAATATCAGCAACGCGTTTTAGAGATGGAGAGGAAATGTCTTATGCTAGCAGAAGCCAAAGGCTCACACCTGCGGCTAATCTAAGTTCACCTTTATGCAGCTAACATTAGCTAGAGCCTTAAATCACAGTATGCGATCTCAAAGGGATTTACAGGCCCAAAAGTTTGCTAAGAAAATAGAATCTCACAGAATTGCCACGACAGAACGGCATCAGGATCATGATCACAATTGAAATGTGTGAAGTGCATGCATGTGCCAGTGCTCATCTGGTGGGCGGGGCTTCGGAAAAAGAGGGAGGGGCTGCAGGAGGAGAGCTGCATTTGTTTTCTTTTACCAAAAACTACCTACCCCTGTTTTAACACAGAGGAGAAAAAGAAGTCAGTCGTAAGTATTTAACTGCATACTGCACATGGGAGAAATACAGACAGCACAGTCTGAGAGGCTTACATTGTTGTTGTTTTGCTTTTCCTCTGACTCCTCGTGGCCCTCTGGCCGGCTGTGGTTGCGAGTGGGTTGGATACACACCACATTGCTGTCCCAGGAGGGCGGGCCCACAGGGGGCAGCCTCAGCAGCTGGTCATCTGAGAACTCCTCATCTTCCTCATCTGTGGGGAGGGGATTCAGAGACAAAGATACTGTAAATACAAGTAAATCATTTCTGCAGTTACTACTAGAGAATTTTCAACAAAGTAATGTGAATTTATCTGAAAGGGAAATCAACCTTTTGAGTCTGAGATGGAGTAAGGGTTCCCAAAATGCAGCTTGCTGGGGCTCTGAGAGACCAGCAAAGGGGTGGGGGCATCCTGGGTGTAAGGGACAGGGTACTGCAGGAATAAAGGCACACTGGACTGGATACTCTCCAAGCTGGTTTTCTCACTGGTCCCCTGATCTCCCTTCCTGCTGCCGCTGCTCTTCTGGAGCTCCTGGGCAGGAAACAGCAGAATTTAAAGAATTTTTTTACAACAACAAAGACCAATGTTAGAATTAAAAATGTTTTCTCAAGAGCTAAATATCTGATTTAATCTCCATCTACCTCCCGGTCTGTCAAGGCAAGCAATATATCACAGCTTACAACCACACAGGAGCTCCTGAGCTGTGAGTTCTTGCTTTTTCTCTCGCTCACACAAACAGTTTAATTAGTGCCTTCATTAAAAGAGAAACTCTTCTCATTTTCAAAGGGTTTGTGACGCTGCGTTTTATTGATGTTAGCTGCAGACGCCAATTTAATTTACAGTCTAAACCTCAAATTGGGTCATTCTGCTCCTCTTAGCTGTAACAGCATTACCTCGAAGCAATATTTTAGGCCAGTGAGGACCTTGCTGTGGTCCAAAGTAATGGAATGGAAAATAAGAACTCATTTACTTTGCTTCTACAATTAGAGGCATATTAAAAACAGACCAGATTGGGAGAGGGAAAATGGCAAGGGAATGGCACTTTTCAAGGAATTTTAAGGGTGGAAGAAGTCCATAAAAGAGAAAATGAAAGCTGCCACTAACCCCCTCCACTTTTTCCTTCTCCTTCACAACAAGTGCTAGTGTGTCCTTCAGCTCCTTCACCTCCCGTCCCTTCTCAGCTACCTGGCTCTGAAGTAAACAAAACACAAAAACAGAAGAATAAAGTGACAATTTCAATCCTTAAACATCTGACACGTGCTGCTGATTGAAAACTGCATCATTGAAATACTCTCAGGCCTCAGTGCGTGACATTAATTGATCACAGCCATAAAAGGCTTCCCTTTGCAGAGGACTGATTTATGTACAGTACCACTCAAAGCAAAACAACCTGTTTGAATTCCTCCGAGACACTAAGCAAATATCCGCCTGACCTGAGCCAAGCACAGCATTAGCCAGGCAACTGGAGATGACTCCTCAGAGCCAAGCTTTGCTTTTCTCCAGAGTCTGACATAAACAGCAGTAAAATGTCGTCTCACAGATAGGCCTGCTCATAAACAACACTGTCAGAGCGGCTGTCTTCAAGGGGAGAGATAGCATCAAAGGCTCCATTCCTGAGCTAGACCAGCCATACCCAGCATTAAAACACAGTAAGTGTCCAAAGACAGACCAACACAGCATCACTGGCAGCGAACAGCCTGACCGCAGTGCTAAGTGTCTGTACTCTGAACAGACTGTAGGATGAACTGACCTTGTAGCGATCCTCCTCTGCTGCCAACTGCAGTTTCATGTTCTCATTCAACTTCAGTTGTTCCTTAAATTTCACCTCCATCTTAGCCAGCTCATCAGCAAACATGCAGCTACGCTCCTTCTCCTCCTGAAGAGCAGTCAGACAACAATGAAGTGTTTTACAATCCAAAGAGCACATACTGAATGTAATCATTTTATAGAGCATGAGTCTTTGACAACTTGGTTTAAACATCTAATTTGGGGGCACATGAGCAATAAAAGGATGCAAGTAATCCGTTTCTTACCGCCAACATTTGCTTGCATTTCCTGTACTTGTCATTCCTGTCAGATGCCTCTCTGCTGATGCCTTTCAGCTTCTCCTGGATGATGGCCTCCAGCATTGGATCAGCAGAACCTGGACTCCCTGAAAAGACAATGAAGGCAAGTCAGACAGCTTGGCAAAGCACAACGGCAGTTTTAAATGCAATTACTCATTTCATGACTTACACTTTGGCACAGGTAGATATAACTCACCTGGCACTGATGTGTCTGGACTCACTGATGGAGGGATTGTTGAGGCCTCTTGTGCTGAGCTTCTCTTCAGATCCTGAAGACAGACAAAAAACACGTTGAAAATTAGCTCTAAATGCAACTGGAAGACAGAAACAACTAAAAGAAACTAAACTGATACACACAGGATCAGTGGACACCAAGTATGCCACTGAAAACAATCATTAAATTAAACAATTTCACGTTTTTTTGTAGATAATAAGCTTTGCATATTCATTTTATAAAAACACATGAAAATGTACATGTAAAAGCATCTTAAACTAGCTAACTGAATGCTGACAAAGATGAATCTCAGGGTGAAATTCATTCCAGTCAAGTGATTAGCAACACAGACTGAAGAGTGGCCAAAGGATCTTTAACCTCAGAGGGATGTGACAGGATGACACGCTGTCACAGAAATCTAAGTTCTGTTCTTTCACAGGTACACAGTATGTCAGCTGGTGTCTGTTGGGACTCACCCCTTGCTGATCAGAGAATCTAAGCACTTGTTTTTGCAGTCGCTGACATTCTTTGTATTTCTCCTTGTAGTGTTCTGCAGCCATGTGCAGCCGCAGCTTCAGGTCCTCCACCTCTCTCTGCAGCTCTGCTACAACAGCTGGGTCTGCAGCAGCTTCTTCTTCTGCTTTGGCCTTGTGATGACAAATATGACAAAAAAAACAGATTAGTATTAAACATGTGAATGGGCAAACTGCAGGGACCACTGTGAAGCTGTAGAGATAGAAAGGAATCCCTTATTAATAGAACCTAAATGATTATGATTGATCATCTACAATGTCTGCCAGCACTTGTAAGGGATGCTATCAAATGATTCTTTAGTAAAATGGTGGCGATCAATAAAAAGCTGTTCTAATGTGGAGCTATGTGGAACTACAGAAAGAATTACAGCCCCCCTGAAAGGCAGAACCAATAAAACCCTTTTTGTTTCTGTTTCCATTATTTTGCTCTTCCTACCAGTAACCTTTTCACTGCCTTTAGCAAAAAGTAGCATACTTACGACAGACTATACAAACTATAACGTTAGCTTGATTGTCTTGTTAACTAACTGTAAAACACACTTCATTCAAACTTGACAGAAACAAAATAAAACTCACCAAAACTGTCTTAGTCCTGTTAGTCATCTAGTTACTTAGTCCACTGTTTCAATGAGGTTAAAATAAATCCTTAATTCACAAAGTAAGATGTTAAGTATGCTGATCTGCATGCCATTTATCCCTACAGTCTCTCTATGCCTCTCAGCTGTCCGCTGAGCAGAGGCTCTAAATTGTTTTTCAGCAGCAGCTAGAGCACATCATGTTCAACAAACATGCAATTAATGGAAACAGATGAATCAGGGAAATAACAGTTATTGTGATATTTTAAAAGTAACAGATCGCTTATTTGAAAACCTAACGTTACTACTCCACTGCTCGTTTGGTCATTACTGCAAAACCTCGTCTCAGTGAGTCTGTGACTTGCAGCAGTTGGTTTGTGAATACGAAAAGTTTATATGGAAGTTAGCCTGCAGCAGCGATTGTAATGGCAACTGTACATGTAAAAACACTGTTTACTGTCAGTCTATACTGCTATGCTTTACCCCTTAGAACCGTAGTGTTCCAATAACAGACTCAAAAACACAGATACAGAATGCCAGGATTTCACATGTCACATATCCAAGGAATCAATCTCATGTAGCTAGGTATCTGTACATTGCAAGCTAAATTTCATTTTCACTCTCACTTCAACCCATCAGAGCTGGCGACCAGGAACAAGGTTTATCTAACATTAGACATTCTTAGCTGCTTGATAATGCAGTCAAACCAAAGATCATGTTCTCTGTTACTGTTATGTTTCTAACTTTGTAGAGAGCCATAAGCAAAGTCAGGTATGCTGCAGGCAAGCTGCAGATGGAGAAAGAGGTGTGGAGTAATTAGCAAATAATAGATCCACAGATAAGAAATGATGCAAAGGTGTAGAGTAACATCTAAGCTATTTCAGGGTATGAAGGGATTTTTTCTCATGAAAAAACTTCTAAATATGTAATTCTGATAAACAGAGATGAGTTTTTAAAGGTTAAATTAATGACAGGACAGGAACTAAAAATAAAAATAAAAATTTCTAATTGCTACTCTCACAGAATATTAGAGGTTTTCTACACTCGCATATCATCTATCATCTATCATTGTAAGCAGATTGGTTATCAGCCTTACAGCTTCCTTCTTAGTCTCTGCCTTCATCTGCTCCACCAGGCGCTCCAGGCGGACACACTGGGCCTGAGCTTCAGCCTTGGCCTGGCGAAGGGCATCGGCCTCCAGCTTCATGTGGTAGAGTTCAGACATGGTACGGTCGCGGGTGCTGGCGGCGTCCCTCAGCTCAGCTGCTAACAAGGCGGACTGCTGCTGGTTGGCCTGGAGCTGCTCTTCCTTCTGCCGCAGCTGCTCCTTCAGGGCCTTAATATCTCCCTGCCAGAAACAAACACATGTTAGGTGACGGGTTTTTTTTTTATTTCCATAAGGTCACCATTTTTTAAATTTTAAAACATTTTTTTGTACCAAGGGGGGAACTTTGGCCAGGATCTCTCTGTACTGTTTCTCCTTCTCAGTGAGGCACGTCTGCAGGCGTCCCACCTCCTCTTTAAACTGGGCAATGGTGTTTTCCTTGTTCACATCCACAGACTTCAGCATCTGCAGCTCTGCACTCAGCTTAGTGTTCTCCAGCTCCCGGTTTTTCAGGTGAATCTGAGCAGACACACACACACAGATGCAAACACATGCCCACACACGCACACAGAAGAAGTTATAAAACACACGAGAAGTTATAAAACATAAGGTCCTTGGCGTTTGCCTCATTTATACAACACCAATCACGATCATGTACCAAAGAGCATATGACTATTAAAATAAATGTTGCATGACCTCAATTACAAAACAGAGATTGAGATAGGCCCATAAAGTTTTCCTCATGCAGCAGCCCCAGTGTGATGGTGCAAGTTAAATTAGGTATGGGCTTTTGGCTCAATTTCCATGGCGACACTACACTATGTGGCACTCCCAGTTCCTGTGCGGTGCTGACCACAACAAAGGCACAGAAACACCAGACGGACCAGAAGAAGACAGAATAAGGCATGCCCTGTTTAGACTAAATGTTTGGGCATGAGCGTACAGAATAATCGCAGTAGTAAAAAGTGAAAAACAGTAACAGGAAAAGCCAATGAACTGGACCTCCAATTTAGGGGACTCTAATATAATAAAAAATGCTAACTGTACAGGTTGTAAAACTGTCACTGACACAGCAGTGAACTGAATCACTGCAACGTCTGCCCCACTGGCATTATGATTACATGTAAGTAATTAGCTGCTTCCCACCTGAACAATGACCTTGTTTTTAATCTTTATGTGAAGAAACATATTAAATACTGCACACAAGTTACCTTGTACAGTTCCTTCTCATCTTTCTCATTCTTGAGATAAGATTCGAGTGCCTCCTTCTCCGCTGAGATTTTCTTCACTCTGTCCTTGAGACTAAGGAAATGGTCATAAAGTTGTTAGTCACGAACTGTATCACTGATCACAGCGTCTATATTCACATGTGCTGTTTGGAATAATTCATTAGTGACAACAGAGTATGGTCTATGGTTTAACACTGTTTTTATGCACCATTAAAAAAAAAAAGCTCCAGGCAAAAAATATGAAACCGTCACAAGCTACTTTCTCCCTACTTGACCTACCTGTAGGTTATACATATATATATACATAATACGGAAATGTGATGATCATATAAGTAAGCATGCACGTATCCAAAAACCCTGCAATTAAGTTGAATCTGCAACAACCCCTCCATCCTGATCTCACCTGTCCAGCTCAGTTTCCTTTTGTAGGCCCTTCTGGGTGACTCCAATCAGATCCTCCTCCAGCTGTATAACTCTGGCTGTGGCCTCCTCCAGCCTCCTCTTCACTTCCTCTTTCTCCTCTAGCAGAGCCTGGGATGAATTCTGCACCTCCTGGGAGACAATAAAATGTACTGGGTAAAAGAAGTGGAATTAAAAAAGACAAAAGACTAAATAAAATACGGAAGACGAATACTTCAGTTTGGTAATGTGCATGATCTAAGAATTACTGAATTAATTAATCATTCGCTTTTATAAAATAAATAATAACAATAACAATTTGTGCCCAGATATACATAAATCTAGATGGATTAAAATCTTCTTTGACTCAATGCACGTAGAAAACGTGTGCAAAGCATAAAGTTTATTGTCTTAGAATTGCAAGTCTAAATTTAGATGAACATTAGGCCTCCGTTCAAAGTTTTCAAACATAAAAAAATGACATCAAAAAAAGCAAAGGGAAATGATTTTTTTTTTTTAACAGTTTGTTTATAGGCAGAATTTTGGAATCTTTATATTCACACCATATAAAAAATCATATAAAAGTATAGTCATAAAATTAACAGCCACAAAATCTGTAATCATGTTTTCATCTGAAAGCCGTTTTAAAAGCAGCAGATTTACGGCGGAGGACAGTCATTTGAATTATTACTAACACTGCTTTTAAGACTTAATGTTATACTATAAAAAAACTGAATTACAACTTTGATAATATAGACATTCATATCTGTCAGGGAGTTATTTATATGTTTAGTGGATCACGAGTTTGGATGCTTTGCATATTTGCGCTCTTTCACTAGGGGGTGCTAAGAGACTGTTTGGCCAAATGTAAAACAGTGCTTGGAACAAGAACAAGAAAAGAGCATCAATCATATAATTTAGCACATTTAGCAGTATGAGCTGCTAAATCAACAACCAAAAACAACTGTAATAAACAGCAGAAAAAGCAACAAGTGTTTTTGCTTCACTGACAAAACTTTTACAACAGCAACAAACATTTTTCTCCCCTCCTTACAGCTGGCACTCCTACATGCCCACAGAAACTGACTCAGTTCATTCTTACTTGGCTCTCTCTTCTCAGCTGGGCACAGGTTTCTTTCTCCTGCTCACACTCCTTCTGCAGGCTCTCCTTCTCCGCTTCCATCTGCTCCTTCTGCTGCTTCAGGAGGGCCATGTTTTTGACCAGCTCCTCTTTCTCTCTCTGGACTTCCTCCATCTTTTGCTGCACAGAAAGATACATTTTTTGAGGTGTTTGGTAACAAAGTACACCGCCATACTAATAATGGCTAATATGAACTCAGAGATTTAAATAGCTGTTCCGCATGTGACAGCCAAAGTATTGAGTAGCACTGCGGTGGCATATTATACCTCAAGGAAGCCAGCCTTGGTGGTGACCACCAGGATGTCTGAATTGCATTCATCCTCCACAGTCAGCAGCTCGTCCTCTGAAGGGCTGTTGGCACGAAACTGGAATGGCGTGCTGGCTCCTCTGATCTCCCCTTTGTGGGTCACATAACAGAACTGGTAGAACTCGGCATCGTCGTTGGGCACATAATATCCTAGGGAAGGACGACATCCAGTCAGTGAACTCAGCGCACAGCAGTACAGAGAAGCAAAGACATCCCTCCAAAACCCTAAACTCACCTCAGTCCTCAGCTTCTCTTTAACTGCACACTTATGCCGTAGTTATTACAAAAAAGTGCAGTTATAATTTTGGGATAAGTGTGTGTAAAACTGAAAAAAGTACCGTAGTGGTGTAGTGTTCTGGATCATAGACTACGCATCTGTGATGTTGTGGGTTTGAATCGAAACGGCAAATAAGAAATGTCTCTCTCCCCGTCATGTCACTCACTATTACTTTAGAAAAAAATAGTATTAAAATAAAAAAACACATAAACTGAAATGTCTTTTAACACCAGAACAGAGACCTGTGGGGAAATGTTCTCATTTAACTCTACCCACTGATTCAGTATTAAAGTTTTAACAATCCTCCGAGCAGCCCTCTGATATGCGGTTATTAAAAGGTGTCAAAGTTATATAAAACTATGGTATGATCTTACCCTGAAACACCACTGTTCGGTTGACTGCGGTGCCTTCCACATAGTTCTCAGGCAGAGGCGACCACAAGAATGTGTAATAGTCCCTCGCTGTGCTCCAACCAACCTGTGAGACATTGTGGGGAATCCATTCAACCAGACGCTCTCACCACATCAGTGCAAGATAATAACAATGGAGGATTAACAAGGAGACTTCCTAGAATCCACACAGTGCCACTTCCAAAATATCTCAATCTGGTTTATTACAGTCATCATGGGGTTTTCAATCTGTGCTGGGATGATAGCGTAAGCCCAATGCCTACTGTGATTTTTTTTCTTTCCTAGAAAAAAATGACCATTTCTGTAAACCAGTGAAACTCCTGGTCACCACGTGCATGTGGCCCGGCCCTTGTCATGAACAAGCCGAACTGTGGAAACGCAGCTACAACTCACTTCTAACAGGAAGGGGAAAATAGGTGAAAATTTTATACATAGGTGACTTGAAAATGAAAACCAAAATGTAATTATACGTATTTTATGTGTTGTTAACTGATGGCTGATGAGGGGGAGTACAGAAAATACATCCATAACTTCAGCCTGGTGCCATAAAACTGTCAAACAAAATCAGAGTCACATCAGGCTGGCTGGCTCTCGGTGTGCACACTCAGGCACACACCCGCATCCACAACAAACCCTGCCAAACCAGCCTCTTACACAGCCTCTACCACAGAACATAGATTAAGTCTTGAAAGTGTTGTTTTTTTAACAAAAATTACAATTTAAATATTCATGCAGGCAGGTCTTGGTTAAATATATACTGTTGCGGATGTAGCTTTGATGTATACAGGCTTTTTTAAATGCCTGGGCAGCTTATTTTCTTACGTGTGAACAAACAGTCTACAGCTACAATACTGCGAGTGTTTGTCAGAGCCAGAGATAGAAGGCCACGGTGCTCCAAAACCCCCAATTGTTGCCAGTGCAGTTCCAGCCTCCAGCAGTAAAGAACAGGAAGCAGTTAAAACATGCACCTAGTTAAAGAGTGTCATTACTGAAGGCTAGCCCTTACCAGTCCACTCATTAGAGCAGCAGAGGTGGTGGTGGGTAAAAACTCTGAGAGGAACTCTTTCACTTACAACACACTGGTCTGCAATGTGTGTAAATAAGAGGAGAGGATGTAGAGACAGTGTAGAGCCACCATAAAAAACTGGACTGGTAACTGGAGCAATAACACAGGCAAGGTAACACTGCAAGAGTAAAATCTCCAAACATACAAGCAGTTACAAAATGTTACCACAGAGTGCACCAAATGTACTTTAGTTTAAACATGAATTTCACCAGCATTCCAGCAAAGTCATACCTCTGCAGGAAAGCTAACAGAAGCCAGTGGCAATGCTGCTGCAGGAGGTAATGTATTGTCTATGTGCCAGTCAGACTGTATAAATTCAGGGAGCAAGTTCTTCATGAATCACAGGGAGAGGTTGTGCTTGAAGACAGGTTAATTATAAAGCAGTGCTTGCTTTCTCCTAGGCCACTGTGACAACCTGTCCCAACAACATTCCTCCATGAAGCCCAGAACAGCTTGCAAATGGTAAATGTTCCAACATCAAAAGGGCCAAAGGCTGCTTTTGTCCCTGTGCAAACAAGAACCTGTCTCCCTTTTATTTATCACCAATAGCACATTTAGTTTGTTTGACTTGTCAAGCAAAAGTGCATAATTTAAACATTTGTAAATTATTTTAGGTTGACATGTGAAAGCATAAATCAAAAATGTGGGGGTATTTCTTCATTTTAGTCATAATTCTTCAAACTCAGAATTCTTTGAACCAAATTACTGATAGCGGTGCTGACAAGTTTCAAATGACTGAACCACAGAACATTTTCTAGTCTAGCCGCGACACTTAGACAAACCTGGAACACGCACTATTCATTTCAAATAGTTAAAAAAAACAACAACTAGAAAGTAGTAGTGCACTAAACAATTTAAAACGGGATTTGCTCTGTTTGACCGGGAGCCAATAGCAACTAATTGTGTGTTAAGGAGCTAACACTGATGCACAGCGTATCCAGGTTATCTCAATGCAAACAAACGCAAGAACTTGGCACCGAACATCTCATCTGTCAGCACTGCCAGGAACATTTACACAATTTACGATCCTGCCCTCAGCCTTTTCCAGCTCAGCTCTGTGTTTTAGAGGCTCAAGAAATTAGTGATTTTAAGATCTATGCTGCTGGTTGGTGCCTAGCTTGAGGCCAAACACAATGTGATGTGGCATCCAGCTTCAACAGAGTGCTGAATCCAGGATTTAAACAGCCTCCAGACATTAGCTGATCCACCTCCAGTAGCCTAAAATGACCTCATTCCTCTGTGAGACTTCACAAAAAACATCTGTATATATCCATTTCTCAAATCCACGATCATGAATAGCACCCAGTGAGCATATTAATCACTGATATACATTTTTCAGACAGAGAATAAATATATGGCTTCCATCAATATTACAAAAATATGAACAATTTAAATGTCTCATGTTCAGCAAAACTGTAACAATTTGTCTTGGCTGGCTTAATGGCATTACAGTATGCTAGAAGAATAAGGGCATGATGCAAGAATATCTCTGACTCTGAACACTAGAAGCACATGTGTGCAACACAACAAGAGAGAGCCGTTAGTTTGATTTTTTTGAACTGGTGTGATTTAATTCCAGCTCCCGTCTCATCTCCGGAAGATAAAAAGCATGTTAGCCTCGAAGAGCTCGGAGACATATGCTTCTGTGTACATCCACGATTCACTACAGATGAGGCTAAAATAAATTACTGCCACTGTATTGGATTTAATGTGCTCCTATAACAAGATCCATGTGGGACACTGAAGTGTGTGGTGTCGGGGTCGGAACGCTCCATTCCCTCTTCCAAGCTAATTTTCCAAATAAATACAACAATAGCTGCACTTAACAATCTCTCCGTTTTTATCACCACTGAATGAATATTTTGTTTTCACCTTTTTACGAAAATGTCAGTCCTGCAATTTCTGCAAAATTTAAATCCTGAATCATAGCTGCAAGGTTTACTGGCACATACTAGTGGATTTTAAGTCATGTTTAGACAGTCACAGTGTCATTGCTCCCTTGTACACCAGGAGTTTTCATGCAGTATGTTAGAGGTTTACCTCCCAGCACATCATACACGATATGCTCTAGTTCAGTGATTCTCAATCAGTGGTCTGGGGACCTGAAGGAATTTTAGGGAATTCCCATAAAATGGGAGACTGTTTATTTTCATTTTTTAATTCCCTATAGAAGTGAGTCCAATGCGAGTAAGAGTCAGAGTGACTATTCTGATCATAGGTTTCACGTCCTGCAAGGTTGTCTCCTCAGCTGTGGTTGACAACTACTGATAATCATAACATTTCTTGTGTGTTCTTCAAACGCTTTGCTAATACACTGAAGAGGGTTATTCACCTTGAATATGCCAACCCAGTCCTTTGGATGTGGTTTGATGAACTGTGTCAGGGTATAGTGACACTCCAGTGCAGCATGGGGCAGGTAACTCTTCCCCACGTTCTGGAAGATGACGTGGGCAAAGTTTGACGTGTCCATGTTGTTGCTCAACAAAGTCCCGTCCAGGAACAGTTCCATAAATCACTCAGCAGTGGCTACACACAAAGAAGACAAGCAACACAACATATGATTAGACACGCCGACAACCACAGAAACAAACAACTGTGAATGAGATAAAGTGAAGAGGGAACCCAGTTCTCCACACACTGAAACTGATCTTACACTGAGAATCCTACAATTACTATATTGTTACTGAATAAAATGTCAATTCATCCAATCAATTGTCGATTTGAGAGTTAAAACAATTTGAACCATATCTATATAACGCAGCTATTAGCATACGTTTTCAAGTGGGAACATCCTCAATTTACTTAGGCTAACCACTTGATAGTCAGACAACAAATATAATCACTATTCAGTAATTTTTATTTTAATTCAGACCCACATCAAAATGTTTGTCTCATCATTTGCCATCCCAGTCTGCTATAGTCTCTCATTAGACTCAAACACAGGCAATCTGCTAAGCCATCACTGAAGCCTTCAAGCAACATCAAACAGTGCATGGACATTCCTATCTTTAATCAGATCATCTGGGTACAAGATTATTTTTTTAGTATTTCCAGTAAACAGATGTCTGCTGGTGACAATGCAAGATCATGTCTTATACAATAATACAAGAGTTATTTCTGATTGTCCTCATATTGAAGATAATCTGTTTAACCCTTAAATAGATTTGTTCATGAAATAAGTATCTTCTGAAAGTTACACGCCACCAATTTTGTTTTTGATGTTTGTGCGTGATGCTCTTGCTTAATCAGCAAAAAACAGATGACGTGTTTGAAGTAAATGCAACTCTGTCCCAACTGAGGAAATGTTTGATATGAAGAAAGTTATCAACAACAGGCAAATTGCAAATCTACATTTTTTAACAAATGTATAAATGTGGCATGTGGTGTGTCAGACTGTAGACTACTGGGCTAATGGACATGTGCCCCTCCCCTCCCATGACACTCATCTGTCTCACAAGGACTGTCGGAAAATCTATGTCAAGATGTTAAGTCAAAAAAATTCCAAGTTTGCCACCAGACGTTTGCTCTCATATGACCAGCGAAACTGTAATTTGAAAACCCAAGCAATAACCATGACACCCAAGTTTACAGGACAAGCCATGACCTTTCATTTTCAACACAGTATGGACAAACAATGCAACAGGTCAATGATACTTTAGCTACGTCCATAAAAGCCGAACTTATCAGTAACACTCTAAGTAGTATGGGGCCCGGTCATTAGTTAAATACACCTTTCAATGGCCTTTTAAATAAGTTCATAAATTCACCAATGATTGCTGACACACAGTTACACTGATAACACCAACAGGCATGTAAAGGATTATATGATACTGTGTCCTCTGGATATGGTGATAACGTCTTTCCTCAAATGCAAAAGTGAAAACCTTTTCCAAACGGAAACAATACCTATCTAATTTCAACAAATACAGCAGAAATACCTTATAACTGTCCAGTGCTTTTTTTTTAACTAAAAAGTATTTATCTTTCTTATCTCTCTTAGTTTCGCTTTTCTAGGTTTTGAAAATAAAACTGATGCTTACTCTTTAAATCCCCCAGCCTGTATTGTTAATTCAATACTAGCTTAATTTTGTGAACAATAACTCTTAATTTGATTCTGTTGTTCACAAATTATTTTATTGTATAAATGTTGTCACTGGAGGTGCCTTTTTATGCTTAACTGTTATCCTTTAAGGTAAGAAAATGACTTTGATGATGAAGCTTAACTTAGTTTTCCACTTTACACCTGATACATTAAGACCTCTACTTATTATAATGGCTGACATCTATTTTTATTTGAGTCACTGTTTGGGAAGATCACTTTACTTTAAGTACCGAAAGTAGTATCAGCCTGTTATACATTTTAATTGCCTTTTGGGCCACTTTATTTTTAGGTCTATTCATGTTAAATACCGTGAAATTAGATGACAGCAGAGAAGACTGTTCTTGATACAACGGACCTTTATCTAATCTTAACACTAAAACACCGCATGGTTAACGTGAGTCAGGGTGGATCTTCCATTTCGGCCTCAGCTGACATAATTTTGTCCGACGTAATTGGGCCTGTGACATTCTTAACAGCCCCTCGGATGATGATCGGAAACGCTTAACGCTATTGTTCTCTTACGTTACAGCAGTCACCTGCCCTAATGTACAACGCTAATTATAAAATTGGCAAGAGTAGACGGTAATGGCTGAAATTAACAGCTGGCAACTACAAGCAACCATTCGAGGCCTAATGTGAAAACAGTGATCACATCGGGATAAGTTAGCCATGCAGCTAGCTAGCTAACGGTAGTTACATACTTTACTGGACGAGGCACCATGTTAACCGCTAGGCAAAGAGACAACTGTTCCTAAGACTGCCAAGAAAATATTATCTTAAACAAGTCCAACACAGAGGGTAAGATAAGAAACGCTACAACGCCCTCGACGAAACACAGAGCAGCTAACTCGAGAGCAATGCTATGAACTGGAGGACAAGGTTAGCTAACGTAAACAGTTAGCAATGCTGTCTCTGGAGCTAGCTTCTACAAAAAAAAACATATCAAACGGAGGGAATATCAACAACAACGGCATTAAAGGTCATATTTCTAAAATAAATCTTAAACTTACCCGGTTGACATGTTGAACAGCAGCTGAAATCCGAATCTATCATAAAAACAATTGTTGACGCAGTTCAGTGCTTTCCCGTGCCCTCTTCCTGGAATAATAACAACATTACGTCATTTCCGGAAAGGGGACTTGCTTGGGAATCCCACCCGTCTGACAAAGTTTTACCATGTAAAAATAACCTCGGAGAGCAGACTGTTACAAAGAAGAAGAAAAAAAATCCAATGACATAATGGAGCATCAAGTGAAAATAATATTTTTGGGTAACATCACGTGAGCAAGGGTTATGATTATAGTGTGAGTTACAGTATTAGAATATATGATATTAGAGGTATATTTTGAATTTGGATGCATTCTTCATATTCTCCATACATATATAGAGACTATATTTGTTGTAGTCGTTCTGAATGTTCTCTTACAATTTTTATTGTTATGTATAAATACACCAAAGCTGATGTGAAACCTACTCAGCAATAAAATGAAATCACATACATGCAACATCTGAAAGCTATAAGCAGTTGTGGAATGTCACAAACTAAACCATTTTTAAGTGACTTGCACTACTTACTTCTAATCCACTATACTTTAAAAGAAGAGTGTATTTTTAACTTTTTCTTCTTTTTTTTCAAAAGTTATCTTTACCAGTTGCTCACCTTGTGTATAAAGATTTCACAGTCTCAGGTCAATTTCAACTTAATCATAAAATGTGGTGCCTTCCTAGGTGAGACTACAGGTATCAGAAATACTTCATAGATCCCTGGATCACGTTACAGTTGCTCTTATATATCAACATAATGAAATTATAATGTATTATTAAAATATGTACATTATGCTACAATATAAGACAACATGTAGAGAGAAAATTGAAAAATAAGCATTACAAAAAATATGTACAAATATGTGCATCATATATGACAATATATAACTACAGTGCATATAAAAATAAAATTTAAAAAAATCTTGAGAAATTGATCTATAAGTGTGTTTAATATAAATATACGAATTGTATAAATAATGAATAAATAGGAAAATTATTTGGAATATAAATATATATAATTAGCTATAGCTATGCCAAACCATTAAATGTGTATACACTGAAGTGTCAGTAATAATAATTTAATAATAACATAGCTATATAAATATTGATTAGTGCTTCTTACACTGTGACATTTTTAATTATCCCACCACTGTGGATGAGATTTTTATGAAACACGTGGAAACTCTTTTAGTTGCAGAGATTTATATCATTGTCGGAAAATATAAAGCCATAAACATACACACTATAAAATAAATTTAGCACAGATCTCTGTTGAGGCGGAAACACGTATGTAGGTCTACCCCGGTCCCTCCCCTACAGCTGATTGGCTGTATTTGGGGGCTGTGCTGCGCATGTCTGTTGTTTCATTGGACCGAGGAAACGCCATTAATGTACGTACTACAACGTCACACGTAAGGTCAAGAGGAAAGAAGCATGGCCGCTGTGTTGAGAGGGTCTCGGTACCTAGTTGGAAGGTGTTGCAAGCATGCTGACTTTGCATTTGGTAAGGAGAACAAACTGACACCGTGTGCGCGCTGTGCACGTCGCTTTGCTAACTTGAGAAGCTCGGGTTGTTAGTCGAAGGCTCCTCGTGACATGAAAACACTACTTTTGCTCTACATGTTGTGAGAGAAGTTTGAGTGAATTCTTGCTAGTAGACTGGGTTTAGCTTCAGCTTTTGCTGCTGCAGGGGCTTCAGGCAACTATTTAACTGGCCAAGGAGCTTTTCTTTTAAGTTACGTCGTGTTTGCGTGCCGAAGCTACGTGCTAACAGCCAATGCTCGTCTACAACATTTCAAAACGGTGAATGTGGGAACTGTCGACATATGCTTTTGTGTCCTGCTGTGTCCCCGTATCTTTATTTAAGGCACATTATGTAATCAGTCACCGCACACTTTGGCAAGTCAATTATTTGTATAAAGATGGAGGTGGCTCTCTGCAGAGGGTTTCAACACAGGCACCATGTTCTGTTTTAAAAATAAAACTTTAATACATTTTGTACTTTTTCAGTTTGCACGCAATGCATTATCATTTAGATCATCTTTGGTTTAGATGCAGTATTGTGGGAACAAATGTTAGTAAAACAGCCTTACAGGATATATCTCCTCTGTTATTAGTATAAAGACAATTTTAAAAGTTATTTCTTTGACTCATTTCTGTGAACTTAAAATGAAATGCTTGTCTTTTATAAGAATGTTCTGTTATCAAGGCTTGGTACAATTAGATTAGATGACTTTGGACTGAAGGGCGATTAGATTGGGATTTCATACCTACATGAAATTTAAGCATGTTAATACATTTCATCGAATCACAGTTTTACATTACCTTTATTGTTAATTTTCTACAAAATAAAAACTAAGATATTCCATACATGATGTCAGGGGAAACAAGGCATCAAATGTAAAGACAAGCACACAAGCATTTTTGTCCTTGAATGTATGATAAGGATATTTACCATTGATCCATGGCCGGTATTGCAGTCTCCACAAGGTCTATGGCCTCCAAGACACCGGTGGGGTTTGTTGGTCTTGGCAACATGGGTAACCCAATGGCAAAGAACTTGCTGAAGCATGGATACCCAGTCATTGCTACCGATGTGTTCCCGGAGTCCTGCAAGGAAGTGCAAGAGCTGGGCGCTCAGGTGAGAGTGTAAAATATACACAAGTCTTTTATATTTGATTCAGTTTTCACCTGTTTGTTCCCCTCTCATCCTGTGATTGTGTGTGTTTTCTCAGATTGTGGATAATCCTGCTGATGTAGCGGACAAAGCTGACCGCATCATCACCATGCTCCCCTCTAGTCCAAATGTCGTAGATGTGTACACCGGACCCAATGGCATTCTCAAGTATGCTTTTATTTCTCTTTTAATACATGAATAAAAACCTCATGGATTTAAGTCGGATTCTAAATCATGTCGTTCTCTCAACAGAAAGGTGAAGAAAGGCTCCCTGCTCATTGACTCCAGCACCATTGACCCATCTGTGTCGAAAGAGATGGCTGCTGCTGCTGAGAAAATGGGGGCAGTTTTTATGGATGCACCTGTATCAGGAGGTACATTTTACATATTTAATCACGATATAGGTTGGACAAAATCTTGTGCAATTCACTGTCTAATCTTGAAATGCACTCAGTTGTCAGGTTATCGGGTAGCCTTTACAAAGCCTAATAAATCCCTCTTCACAAAGGTAATAATGTTTAGTTTTGGTTGAAACTATTTTAGAGAGGTGTTGATTCCACTTTGTTGGCTATTGTGGAGCTGCGAACTGTATTGCATTAAACTGAAAGATGTCTCAAGTCAGCTCCCACTGAAATAAATGGGTGGGGGTTTCTTTAGACTGGCAACTGAGTGTATAGTTTAAAACTTTTTGAGAACATGCCTTATCTGTTGAATGGATTATTTCCTTTTGTTGTTCAGAAAAATTTAATTCCAACCAATCCAGCACTCCTGTAATCCTACATTATTGCAAGGCTGTAACAGGCAATTGTTTTAATTATCAATTAATCAATCACCTATTCTCCTGTTTAATTGTATGGTCTATAGAATATCACTAAATAACTAGATACACCCATTGTAGGTGAAACAGTAGCTCACTGGGTTGGGCACATACCATTAAAGGTGAGTTCTTACAGCTGCAGCACAGGTTTGAGTCAGTTTCACTGCTGAAGGTCTTCCCCTCTCCCCCCTTACTTTCACGTCCTTCTCACTATTATTATAAGGCATAAAAATGCCATAAAAATGTCTTCCAAAAAAACCCATCACAAGCTCCTGGTGCCCATTGTGACCTTGTTCTTGATCTTGTTTTGCCAAGATACTTAGCTTACTATCACAGAAGTCTGAAAAAGCTGAAAATATTAAAATTTGAACATGATTTTCTTGTCATTTCTGCTTCAAAGGTTATTGAAATGATTAATCAGTTATCACAGTAGTTGCAGATTTATTTTCTATTGCTTGACCAACCAACTAGGTGTTTTAGTTCTACATTATTTGAAAGGAAGTTTCAATTACAGTTGTTTGATACTGATACCAGTATCAGTAACACCGCCTTAAACGCTGGATTGGGGATTTGCAAGTACACAAGTCTATGTACTGATCATATACCATGTGTTTTACTGATAAACTTTAAAGTGCTTTCTAAACTGAATGAAACAGCAGTTTTCCCATAAATCCATGCACAGCAGCTCTAAAACTGTAGCCTACACAGCAGGTGGTGCCGTGCAGCATTATAGCAGCTACTGTTTTAGAGTGTCAAAGAAGAATTCATTTCTGGTTTTAAAAAAAGTGTAAGGTTAGCCATCGATAAAATGTCAAACTAGATAATAACAGAACGTTCTTTAGCATTCGTTCCCTGTTTTTATATATATATATATATATATATATATATATATATATATATATATATATATATATATATATACACACACACACACACACACACACACACACACACACACACACACACAGGGTTTAACCTGAGCTGTGCACAGGACTGAGGATTCAATATATCATTTAACATCCATAGATGGCTAGAAGTGTACAGCTGTTCATTTCTTTCTTCGTGCAATGGTATCAGATCAGTACTCTGTATCATCGAGTTCAGGGATCAGAATTGTTACTGGGAAGGAAAAGATAGCATCGAAACATCTCTAGTTTCAACTATCTACCAGGTGTGATCATGAGCTCTGATATGTATTACAGTGTATGTATTGTATGTGTGGAATGCAGGGAAGGGACTCTTGCTCTCGGGGCAACATACTAACTGAAGTCACCAGCTGCTTTAATGTTATGTCATGTTGAACTGTGAATAGACATTGGCATTTCAGCACTTTTCTTGTTGGTGACAACTTAGCTACAGTCACAGTTAATAAAGAACACCAACAGTATCAGGCAGAAGAGGAGGAGGAGGAGGAGGAGGAGGAGGAGGAGCTCCTGCCTGCACACATGTTCCAAGCTGTAACGTGTGTGCTCTCTGACTTTCATGGGGGTCCACACAGAAACAGTTTGTTTGAACTTGGCCTCGTCCACGTCAGGACGGCCACTTTCTTTGAATTGATTCTGGTCCATTTTATAGCCTGGCCCTAAAGATTAGTAA